AAAAAAAAAAAAAAAAAAAAAAACTCATGCTCAACATATTGCATCAAAATTATTTTTAGGTACATTTTCATTTCTAATTGAATTTTTTTTTAAAAAACACTGAAGGTCATTCACATGATTCTTGGAGAGTGGGTCAGTCATTCATGGTGGGAAGAAAGTCCTATTCTCTTGGAGCTATGTGCCCCATTGAAATAGATAAGTCATAATTAGTTTTTTTAATTTTTCATTCTGTGTGTTCGATATCTATTTTGAAGACATTATTAATTTCAAATTTGTAAAGGAAAGTTCTATTTTGAAGGTAAAGTGTTTTTATAAAACTCGATTTTATATATACTCAAATGTTAAACTCAAGATCTTTAAAAATAAAAAAATATTTATCACTTTACCGTAATCTTCGATAGTATACATTGAATAGTTTTTTTTTTTTAAAAATATTTGTGTGACAAACGTGAGTACAATTAATATTTGAACTTGGGAATTATAGTATACAGAAAGGCAGACAGTTTAGGATCCCTACATGTTATCGTGTCCTATATAGGAAATTTCTCATGTCAAAATCTGCATTTATATCACCAATGACCTGTTATAATCATATGAATTTTATATATATATATATATCGAGGGCGATGAATGAGATTGTTCGTTTTTTAATTAGAAGTTTCGGTTATGAATTTTGAATATAAAAAAATCTTTGATAGAAAGTGTTTTCTCCGATGAACACTACGTAGGTTATGTGAATTTGAATTAGTTGAACTACAATACGGATATCAGACTGTTGGGTTATGAAGGGGTGATTATGGTGTCATGCGGAAGCTTACAATTTGCAAATCATATAGTTGATAAATTAGATAACAAAACCTTATACTAAAAATCAAAATATTATTATATCAAAACTAATATAAAGAAAAACATTGAAACTTTAGAGAGAATAAATCTCCCCATAAACAAAAGTCTTAAACGACTACATTGTAGATGTTATTGTTTTTGTGTTAGAAGAAACAAACCTATATTTATAGAGTTTTAGCCTTTCTTACTAGAAAAGGAGTCCTAAAAGGAGATAATAAATCAA